GAGAAATGGAATAAAGAAAAAATATGAATGACGTTTAAATAATCTAAAATATAATAAAATTAAATAAATAAATAAAATAGAATGAATAAACGTAATTATGAATAATTTTTATAGTTTTTAATATATTTCTATTTCATACATAATATATAAATGATTATTTAAACAATAATACATTCCATTTAGTTATCTTTTATTTTACATTGTTGTTTTTCATTTTTATTATTTGAAATAAAAATATTCAAAGAAGTAACGATATAATGAATAAGTAATTTTAAATTGATGATAAAAAGAATATAACAAAAAGAAATAAATAAAATAACAACAGATTTATAATAATATTATAAAAAGAAATAATAGAAAATAATTCTAATTACTTTAATATATTTATTTCAAATAACGTATGTTTCTATATCAACAATTAAATTTCGGATTCTATTTCAACTAATTATTGACAAATCCTGTTTAAAACTAATATAAAAAGAAAATTCTCAACTAGAAAATAGCATTAGATTAAAAAATGATTATATCATTACTATTTATAACAATTCTTGTTGTATATTCACGTCCTATAAAACCACCACGTTTAGGTGATGGTTTTATTCAAAGAGGAAATCATTATGAACATGGAACTAACAACAAATTGAAAGGTGATAATGGTGAAACCGAATTACAATATTCCGTTGATATAAAACCAAATGTTCATTCATTTGATTTTGATGAATCAATAGAAAGTGTTGAATGTCAAGGAGATGATTTGATTGTTTCAACAAACAATAAATATATTGAAACATGGAGTAATAATTCACTTGTTACAGGTTCTAATGAAATGTGGAAAAGTTCATGTACATTAAATAGAAGAGTAAAGAATATTGAATTAATGTATGAAAAAGATGGATTATATTATTATTTACTTAGAACAGAGAAAGTGTCATTTAATGAATATTTTAATGAAGCAAAATTAATTTATAATCCAAAGAATAATGGAGGATATAATAAAGAAAATAAAAGAAAAGGATTTAGAAAAGTACATTTCAAAGAAGAAAGTAATATTGATGCATCAACAGTTGAAATAAGTTCAATTCCAACAGAAGTAGTACAAAGAAGTGAATATATAGAAGTGAAAACAACAGAAAAAACATTGCCATTCAATATTGAAACACCTGTTGGTGTTATAAATGTCGTACATGATGAATATTATTGTATAAGTTATAGTCTTATTAAAGGAAGTGAAGATATTCAAGGGGAGATGATCTTTGATGTTTATCCTAATGAAAAACAATAACAAATATAAATTTTATAAATTCATTCATAAATTTTTTTAAAAACATATATAAACGACATAAAACATATACCGTCAAAGATAATAAATATTCAGTTGATGAATTATATACTAAGTGTATTAAAATAGACAAAACATATAAAGAAAATAAAAATTACACAGTTAAAATGAAGATGGAAGGATATAAAGAAAAAGAAGGACCAATATTTTATGTTGAAAAAGATGACTCTCTTATTGTAACAACACCCATAGAAGGAGAATTTATAGATTATACAAAAACAAAAGAGATTTTAGTTAAATGGGAATACAAAAATGCATTTAAATATGCACAAGGAGTAAAAACGGAGTTAAAGATGAAAAAATAATAAAAGTAATAAACAAAAAATTTAGATAGTGTTACAAAAAAAACAACATGTGTGAAACAATATCCATAATTCTGATAAAACAAAAAGATAATATATACACAACAAATAACCGTTGAAAAAAAATTATATAAATACAACACACAAAAAAGGAAATATTAAAAAAAATTAAAAAAAAAGTAAACAAGAAAGAAAAAGAAAGAAAAAAAAAAAAAAAAAAAAAAAAA